TCTGTTCCAGTTCACAAGGCTGCTAAAGAATCTCCAGCAAAACTGGACAGCCCAAGCAGCTGTTTTCATCCCTCAGCCAGGCACAGCAGCAGATGCAAAATACTTGTGTGTCACTGGTACCTCCAAGCCCCACCTCTTCCAACTACACCAGCTATGCCACAAACAGGATAAAGCAGTAAATCCCTAACTCCTCGTGCCCTGACAGCACAGAAGGAGATTGCCCTTGGCAGCAGCTATTATTAAAACAAAAAAATTCCAAAGTGATTGCTGTCCATTGCAGGAAGATAAGACAGTATGCAAATGCGGAAGCAGACCAGTTCTCACCCTTGTGAGCTTGGTCTTGCTTCCATCAGTGCTTTGATGCCAGCCTGTTAAGATGTCAGGACAGTTTCTTGGTTTTATACTCAGTGAAAGGGCTCCTCGTTACTCCTCCTTTACACACAGTTTCTCTATAGACCCACTTGTATTTCTTCCCATCTTCGAGTTCTGCAATTACAAGATGCATCGTTCACTGTTCTTCACAAAACATCATGCTCCTAGGACTGAATCTTTACTCGGTACTCACAGCAGGTGACGTCTGTCCTGGTGTCGTGCTTCCAGGTGCTTTTGTCCATCTCTTCAATACTAACATAATCTCTCAAGTGAATTATTATTTAATGTTTTTTGTTGGGTTCCCTTCCCTTTCTACTGCTGATCAGACCTTTTCCTGCCTATGGCCTTCTTTCACTTCAGTAGAAGCTTCATTGAAAAGCTTACTAGGTTTTAGTTTCCCCACAGTAGCTTCCAGGGTCCAGAACCTTTGCTAGACCCAAGAAGACCTTTGAAAATAGCATTCAATCCGTAAGTAACAGAAATACGACAAACCACGAACAATCACAGAATTCCTGCATTATAGTAGGTCAACTTGTTTTTTTCTCTTGCTGGGACATAATAAATCTATGCCTTGTTGCTACTGTTTTTACCTTTTGTCAAAGCTATCCTGCTAATCCAAACACATTATGCAAAAACTTGGTTTCTTTCTTTCAAATAGTAACTACTGTACAAATCTAGACAGAGGAACTACAAATGCTAACAAACAGTAGACAACAGCTTATTGAGTCTGTTTACTAGCTGTAAAACACTGTGGACAACAAAACACAGAATTCACACTAGCTGCCCAAACAGGCTGAGCAAAAACTTTATTCAGTTCATTAAGTGCTAGTTTGTCTCAGACATAATGCGGCCGTTAACTGTGCTGCAGTATCTAAAGGTGCTCTGAAGATGCAGCTCTCTGCAACATTTGTTGAATCACACCTTCAGAAAGGCATTTGTTCGCAGACAGGTAATACCCAGCTGAAGATTTCATGTATTCCACATTAAATTCTAAGTAATAGAGCCAAAGTGTAACAGTTACTACTTCTTCCAAAGACTCCAAGCACAAACTGCTCAGTACTTGCCCAGCTTAGTTACTGAAAGAGAAAAGCTCTTAATTCCATGCCTGTTAGTTGGTGACTGAAATGCACTTCTGCAAAAATAACCATGTTTCACATTCAATTGTTGATGCACTGACAATGAGTCACTGTTACATTACTTTCAGCACTGCATATATGTATGTGTGTGTGTGTGTGTGTGTGTGTGTGTGTGTGTGTGTATAGAAATAGATGTGGATGTGTGTGTGCACATGTGCCTGTGATGGCTCTGAAAGGAAAAATAAAGGCTTGAACATTATGTGAGAATAATCTTACTGACATCAGTGTACTAGGGCTCCAGATCTTGGTTTTGGGCCCAAAGGCTGCACATACCCCAAGCTCTGTCTTCACATGAACAAGTGTAATCAGAGTTGAAAGCTCTAACTAAAGTTTTTTACCAGGGCTTTTTACTTCTGAGTCTGTTTAGTTATTCATTAGTATTTTTTAAGTTAAGCACAGACATTCCTCTTTCCTTTCAAGGCACTTTCATAGTAATAGAGAGAGGTGAATTCCTTTCTTTGGGAACTTACTGTGATTTATGTTAATCTAAATCTCAAAGCTGAAATGCAGTAGTTTTTCCTACGCCACTCACTATAGTAATCCTAACAGCAGAACACCTTGTAGTAGTGCATTAGAGAGTAACATGAGTAAGCAATACAACTTAATCTTTTCCTAAGACGCATGCCATGTTTTACTAGTGTTTATATTTACAACTGCTACTATTTGCTTTACATGAGGGAGTAAAACTAAACCAGAAGTAACTGTTACCAGCAGACGCGTGCTTAACAGACACAGCTATTTTGATATCTTAAACATGACAGATGACTGCGATTTAGCAAGTTCTCTTTTCACAGCTAAGCAAACGAACTGGATGACTGTCACCACTTGCAGTTTATAATTCCTTCTCTATACTAAGACACTATCAACTAGATAGTGTAAGCCATCTTCAAGTCTGACAGACTGAAAAAGAAAACTGTCACACCTCGCTGCTCTAAGACACTTTTGGTTTAATTAGCAGTAACCAGCTACGCTGAACCCCATTTTCACAAGGTTTTGGGTTGGGTGGGTTGTAGGGTTGTTTTGTTTTCTGGTTTTTGCTTGGTTTTTTTTACATTGAAGATCTTAAAACCAGCCTTTTTTTTTTTTTTTTTTTAAACCAGGGGGCTTTAAACAATCTCCTGACGAAATGCTCATTATACAGATATATTTTGACAAGTCTGCTAAAGCAGTCCCCAAAGACCCTATTTGCTATTCTGTTTTGAAAAGAGAGATCAAAGTTAGGGGAGGAAACAGTAACTTTGCAGAAGCAGGAACCAGACTGAGAAGTAAAACAATGTTTTTAGCCTTCCCAGAGAACAGTCAGAACAGAACCAAATGCATTACACCTGTTTCAGCCCAGTAGCATAACAAGGTTTCAAATTTTTAGTAGAAAAAGGAAGAGTTGCTTTCACGTATTTCATTGCTTTCCTTAGCAAAAAGGAGGTGTTTGTAAAAGAAAAGCCTACATCTTCAAAACAATGAGAAATGGAGGTGAGCCTGGCAAAGGAGCTCTTCACACCTATACATACTCACTCCTGCAAGCAAAAACATCAATAAAAATTCAGACATGTTCTTCCCTGTCCGATGGGATAAGGGGAACAGGAAGGGAAGAAGAAGCAAAAAAATTCCAAGACCTCCACATATAAACTCACTTCTGTTCCACAATCATGAAAATGCCATTTCTGGCAGAAACATCCAACACCTATTAGAAGAGCAGCAGCAGCTAAATCTTAAACTGCAGTGATTTCAAGTAGTAGCTTGCTCCTACAAGGCAAAACAGTCATTATTCCATCTAGTTCAGTTACTCAAAAAGCAGCAGCACGGGTTCCTCTAAAACCAGCACTTCTTTTGCTTTTGCACACTGTTTTACTACAGGTTGTCTGAGTATCTCTATGCCACTACAACAAGCAACTTGTGGAATCTGAAATCTCATGTTATAGCTAACTGTCACATCAGTAATTTAATAATGTAAAAAAGGTCCTTTGGGCAGCACTACTTCACAGACCTTCTGTCTGGAGTATATAGGAAAGAGTCAGTAGTCTTTCTAGGATGATTAAAGCCTTACCACTGAGATGAGTTAAATTAAGTTTCTGAATACTCGTAGAGCTTACTGAGAAGCAACAGGTTTTTTTCTTCATCTCATCCAGTACTTGCTCTCAAAGGAAACTGCTTGGAAGTGATAAAAAACACTAGAACAGGAAAAAAAAAAAAACCAAAAAAGAAAAAACTTTACATTCATCTGCTTTCCCAGCAAATAGAAAACATGAGTTCAAGTTGAGCAGGCATTTGTAGACTCCTTTGAGGCTGACAGCTATATTCAAAACATCCAGTGTGGTTGTCCTCTCATTTCTTTCCCTCATCACTTCTGGCACCACATCCTTGTTGCTCTCACATCCCTGAGAATGGCTCTGAGTGTCCCCCTGCCCTGTTCGACAGGGAATGTTAGGGTATGTGGCTCAAGTGAGGAAATATGTTAAAGCTGCAAGGAAAGGACATCCCACCTATTCCCTGGTGTCACACAAACTTCTTGGTAAGGCATGAAACATTGTAGTTTGTAGTCACTCCTGCTAAAAATAAAAGCTTAACAGTTTAGTTCTGTCATTAGCTACAAGTTCTCACTGTACTTCACCTTCAACATCTTCAAAGGAGATGCAGATCATATTTTGTTATTGAAGTAAGACTTATGGTTAACTACTAGTTGAAAGAATCTGCTGCCTTCATTTTAAAGATTACCTCTGCTTACAGAGATGCTCACTGTCTTGGGCAAGTAAGATCTTCTATTTAGGTTGGTTTGGTTTTGGGTTTGTTTTTGTTGTTTCTTCATTGTTGGTTTTGGTTTGAGTTTTTTGGGAGGAAGAGGTTTTTTTTGTTTGGTTTGAGTTTTCATTTTGTGGTGGGGTTTTTGTTTATTTGGGGTTTTTGTTTGTGTGGTTTTTTAGTTTTTTTTCAGACTGGATCCAAATAGCAAAAGCTCCAATCTGCTTCTCTGACTTGTGAAAATAATACCTCAAACCCAAACCAGTGAGCCCTTATTTGCTAAACTCAAGAACTGCAACATATGATTGTGAAATACACGCTTCACTCAAAGAAACAGGGAAAGCAACTTTCAAATACACAGTGAAATAGAGTCCCAACTGCAGACCATGTTGTACAAGTTACATTTCACCATGGTTCACATTTCACCATGGTTCACATTTTCACTGTGGAGAATTTTATATAATCTCTATATACACATTTTTAAACACTGTACTCTTGAACTTCATTAGAAGCCTGTAATGAAGTATCATAAGCCTTCACACAGTTTTTACAGATGGAAGCAGACACTGGAACCTGTGACATGATCCCAGTCCACCAGTGTCTCCAGAACCCTACTCCATTAGCAGACATCTGCAACTATTCCCCACCTAACACCCAAACAGCTTTTCCAGTTGGAACAGATTTTCTTTATTTACACCAGCATAAAACTGGTCCCTTCACAGACTACTCTGAGACATCACCATTCATGACTGTTCTTCATGCTAAAGCCGGAAAATCCTCAGGATCATCAGGATTTGGAGCAACAAGCTGTACCTGTAAAGTAAAAAAGGAAGCTTTTTTAGAAAAATGAATGCATTTCTAAAGGACCTGACAACTATAGGTATGTATTTTACCCTGAATAGGATTTATTCTATTAATGTTAAATGCTTTGTATCCATCACTATCACAGAAATGCTATGCATTTATCTCAGAAGTTATGACTACTGTAATGTCTCCAGCATGAACTGATCCATGACCTGAGGAGGACCACAGGATCACAAGTTCTGCAGCACTGAAGTGAAACGAAAAAGTAAAGCAATCTTGCCCAAAATACTGTCTGCTCTTAGAAACAGCATTATTATCTTGTTACATTCTAAGGCTACTGCATGTAGCAGACTGTAGTTCTAAACTCTATGCTTTTTTATCATAAAGAGCCTTTTTCAGATGAAACAAATGCATTATATTCTGTATTATTCTGTAAGTTCCCAACCTTAAACTACTTCACTCAGACAGAAGTAAACTGAGACCACCTTCAGTTAGTGTAAGAAAAAGATGTTATTTTTCAGTACACAAATGCTGCCTTTTTTTTTTCTTAAGAGAAAAAGGTCAGTAGAAGTTTTTTAAATGGTTACATTGAACACTTCTATCATTCTATAGGATGCTGTATGACTCCAGATTTACCTGCTGATCTCACTCTCAGTAATCAAGCTATTACTGTACTATACTGAAATTTTCTGTAAGGGCTACAAGCCTTTTGTCTTTTTAATTAATTCCCAATTTGTATCAAAACTCATTGCAGAAATGGGTCTTCACTACATCCTTTCCTCTAGTTACCGATACAGTGACTAGTAATCACACCTTTTGAAATGCATGTGTTAAGAGTAGTGAGCCTGAACCAGTATTTAATTTTGGGTCAGGAACTCAAAATAACCAGGCCAACATACTATGGGCAGGAATTAGAAACAAGTCTGTCACTACAGAAATCAGTAAATTCCACAGAAAAGAGGGCAGGCCACACACACTTGTTGAGACATACTAGTTTAGCTTAAATAACTAAGCTTTAAATAGTTTGAGTCACTTAAAGTATTATGCAGTTTAGTATGCCATTTGCTTAGCTTTACTTGCTTAGCACGAACAGCTAGATTTACTGAAGCCTTAGGCCATAAGCTGCGGCTTTTGGCTTCAGTAGAGTTAGTTTTCTTAGTATTTTTCCTACAGCACTGTGTTTTATCTTCACTGTGAGAAGAATGTTGATAACACATCAATTTTAGTTGTTGCTAAATAATGTTTATCCTAGGCCTAGGACTTTTTTCATCCTGCTGACAAGCAGGTGCACAAGTGGGACAAACCAGAAGGTAAGGCGGCTGCAGGCATCACCAGAAGCTGCAACTCAACAAGACCAGAACAGTTAACAGCCTGCCTCTATGAAGACAGAGAAAGAAGCCAGTAAGGTGTTAAAAGACCCCATACCAAAAAGTCACCATTAGACTAAAAAGGCGCATGAGGGGTAGGTGAATAAATCCTAAGGGTATAGCTGCCCAGGCATTTCTTTGCTCAGGGTCCCTCTATGAAAGCACCCAGCTCAAGGTGTCCCTTTTGCTGTACCACTTGATTATTAAATTATTTTTTCCTGGAATTGAACAACTGAGACTCTGCTGTAGGAAACCTGGGATAGAACGCAAAGGAGGAAGTGAGTGTGTCGGAGAAGTCAAAAGGGGCACCCATCAGGTCAGTGGAGCTGTCCACTGCAGAGGGACTCCAGTCCTAACAGTTTAAGTCCTGCTTGGTGTGTAACTCCTCGAATAGTGCGTGAATGCTCAGGCACCAGCCTCTCCCCTGACACATGCACACCAATCACCAAGAAAAATCTCCAGGCAAACAACAAGAAGACACATAAAAGCCATTACCATTACTGCTGATCGAGGTCTTCTCTCCTCAACTTGTCTGCCACGTCCACCACCTCGTGCTCCTCTTGATCCACGGCCAGGGCGAGGAAGACTCCCGAAATTAATATCCAGCTGAGATGTTATGTCATTCACTGGTCTTCGAAAGACATGAGAATCATCTTCATAATCTTCCTTTTGCAACTAAAAAAGAAATCTGGTTAAAGCCTATAGCTTCCATGTACAACTTTCTCCCCTTCCTGATACATACATATTACAAACTAAGCAGCAGACAAATCAAGGTAACACCTGGAATAGAAGGCAGGCCTTAACTTGCTCAGTGTTTTAGCTGAGGTGAGACAACTGTAGCTTCCCAGATGCCTGAGATAGTTCTTCATTGGCTCAGATTTTGTCCTGGCAACAAAATCATTTGTACCAGCTCTGTAACACTGAAGAGGATTTTCAGAAATATCATCTATGAGGTTTTCTAATGGACTGGAGAATCAGGCTTAAGCTACTCATGTCTACAATTATCTTGAAGTAGTGGCTAAAAGGCCATAGTAATGCACAGTACTTGGCTACGAAGCAACCTATTAGTCTGTCTGAGGCTACAAGATTACTGTTGTTTTAACTCTGTTTTTCTAGTAGCTGTAGTGGATGTAAGACTATTTCCCATCATAATTCTAATGGGCACTATAGTAACAATAACATATATATATATATATATATATAAACTCATCCCGTACAGTGATAAATCACTTATTTTATTCAATGTCTAATGCAGGAATTTGACTTGTCCGTGCTATGCAGTTCCTCGTACCTCTTATTCTATGTTCTCTTTGACAAGGTCCCTTGATATTACCAGCCAAGAAACTTCATGGGCAAAAAGAACAGAAACTTGCATGCACTCTTCACATACTTCTATAGTCTTTTCAGAGTTTGTGAAAGATATTCACTCCACCCCTACCACCACATCCTTCTGAGAAGGATGAAGGGGATAACGACAACTGTGACTACCAAAACCCATGCTAAAAAGAATGCAGGCCACTTCAGTATTAGTATTTGTCCCTGGAAGTGCTCAAAGACCTGAAGTGATTAAGGCTTAAAAAGCTGTAAGTTTTGATGTTAATATTATAAAAAGACAAAGGATAATATGTGTATCCATACATGCATGCAGTTGTTAAGGATCAAAATTCCATTAGGCTAGGCTACTCTGACATCCAAAATCTGAAATCTTAGTAAGCAAGAATCTGCAAAAGCAGCCTCCCCTCTCACATCAAAAAACTATTTCTCCCTGAAATGGCAATTATAGTAGAATCGTGGAATAAAAGTTAGGGAAAAAACTGGGGGGAGGGGGGTGTCGAGGGGGAAGCACTCTACTACAGAACAAGCTCTCCACAGTTAGTTCTAAGAAGCAGGACCCTAAAATTGAAAAACAAAAAATACTACTAAAAAATTTATGTACTCCAAGCGCACAGTGAAAGCTGTTAACCAGCACAAATGAGAAACAGGACACTTAGCATCCAGACTAACAGATGCCAAAACCCAAGTTTAATATATACATGCAAGCGTATACTGGCAAGTAAGCTAAACAGGACTCAAAGTTAGGATAAGTAGTGTTTAGCAAACCCAAGTTTCTCTAGCAGCACTAACAGAGATTTGCCTAGGTGGCAGCAGCAAGAATACAGGTTTTATATTGCTAAGTCTGAGCCATAAGGTAGGACTACTTGATATATTACGCATTTGTATACAAAATAGGGGTGATGATCTGAGAAAAGAAAATGAACAGACAGTAAGTTTAAAGCAAGTTTTGAAGCACATATGTCATTACAGTAATAAAGCTTAAATACTGATTTCTGGGCTGTTCAGAATGTACTAAAACTAGTAGAAAAACAATAGAGAAAGGTTCCTAATCCTGGGTATAAAGCAGAGAATTCCTCAGGCAATGCTTACATGATTGCTGTATTTTGACTTGTGAATCACTACTGCTCTGGAAGGAACAGTGGATTCTGGCTTCCGGATGTTGAATTCAGGCTTTGGTCGATTCTGTTGCTGAAGACTTTTCCACTCATCTAATGTCATTTCTTGAACTACTTCTTCCATTGGTTCTCCTTCAGGAGCTCTAAAGGTTTATAGGTGTAAAGTAAAAACCATTAGCTTGCAACATATCAGGATGAAGAAGAACACTAAAGTAAGGATACCGAACATTGTTTCTTACCAAATTGCTATCCTCAATTTCACTTACTCCCCACAGTAACTTGATGTGCGAGTTTTACACTGATGTAAGTTGGAGAACATACGTAAGGCCTGCTTGAAATTACTCGTATAAACAAATGCTGTCTCCAGCCTCCTGTAGTAAGTTCTAGTATTTATCCAGTCTCATTTTAAGTTCAGGCTCTTCAGATCCTAGACAAAACCAGTCTGTCTTTTGATCTGACATATTCTCCATCCTACTGTTTAACAGTGGATCTATAGTTTTAAAACCATACTAAAACACCCCAATTGCATGAATTGTACTGCACTGACTCGCACTACAGGATGACAATGAGATAGATGCATGTTTCAGTGCAGCTTTCAGCCATGATGCTCAACTACAAGATCTTTTAGGTAATTATTAACATTTTCTATGTTAATTTCATAAAATGCTTCTGTGATTTCTTTTGTCAGATGCAGTAGCATACAAGGAGACAGTATTTACCATCTGGCAAAACTAGGTTACCCCTACTCCAGTTTTAATTGGTTGCAAAGTACAATAATGATGATAAATTCAAGGAAAACACATGGAACACGTTGGAGTCTGCCTTGCATATTTTTGAACTGTGAAGACGGAAGTCCAAGGCTTTGTCTATAATCATAAGACAAAATACATAAGTCAAAACTAAAGATTCTTCTCCACTCACCACCGCTTAACTACTCTTTTGCCACTGTTCTGAGGCTGACAAAGACTGACTTGCCCAGAACCAGCAGCTATTAGAGTACACTAAGGGTGCAGTGTACTGGTATTTGCAGAAAGCTATTTTCTACTAAGTAGCATCACAAGCAAGGAACACAGCTCACTTCATCACCATAACTGTCTGCTGCAGGAACAGTATCATGAACTACAGGAAAACCTGCACCGATTACTCCCAGTACACTTGAGAAGCCATTTCTTCCTTTTCCAACACAAAACTGTTACATATTGCAATAGCAGTCAAACTTGGTAAAGTATTTCCCTAACATTAATTTTTTCAGCAAATCCTTTCATTATTACATTCCTCCCGGTAGGAGAACTCTGGATTTGGTTTTCCACGCTCAATCACAGTTCCAAGTCTTGTTCTACCAGATGTTGATGATTTTTCCAACGTAAATACACAGTTGATCAGATGCAAGCTGGAAATTTATTTTATCATGGAAAGATGCAGAGTCAAATGACAGTGAACTGTGAGTTTTGCGTCTGAGGTTGCACAAGCACCCCACCGTTTCCAACACACATCTGTTGGAAATGTTCTGTACATCTACAACTAGCCTGTATAAGAACAGGTCTGCTCCCTCTTGATATTGTGGAGAACCATTCTATTTCTTGCAATTCAAAATGACACGGTACCTTCCTGCAGCACCCGGCGTATGACTGCTAGAAGCAGAACCAAACAATAAGTTGTGTTCTAGGATGAACATAGTTTTAAATGAAGTCTGCAGAAAAAGTAAATAAAAAATATGCAAGTTCTATACTATATGCCTACCCTCGGACATACTTTCATGCCCTGTTAGTTGAAAACTCCAGCTATTTGAACCAGAAGCTAAAGGTTATAAGACTGGTAAGCAGCTGTAGTTCCCTACTAATTAAAAGATCTGAAACTGTAATAGAATGACTGTTAAGAAAAAAAGATTAACTGGCTTAGTGAGTTAAATACAGCTCTTGATAAGAGCTGTAGAAAGATACAGAATTGGCTGCAACAACTATATGAGAAGGAGCTATCAATTTTTCAACTTGCAAAAGAAAAACAAGCATCTGAGTGGAGCTATGAGGCCAGCTCTGTACAGATATCCACAGTGTAATTTTCTGAAGACATTTTCTATGGCATAAAGCTTGTGAAAGAAAAGGGCAATAGCACAAACATTCAAGAACACTGAAGGACTGACCTTAGCATTTCATGGTATGAAATGCTAAGGCCAAGTGAGTGATCTGAAAGCAACCAACTAAAACAACCACCACCTGCAAGTCCCAAGGACAAGCAGAAATACATACTCAGGCAAAAGTATCAGCTCTCCAAACACAGAAAAAACTAGCAAGGCAGAAGCTCTGAAGGAGGGACCCCAACCTCCCCAAACCATGCAAGAGTATTACAGTTTACCCAGTCAAACTGAACTCTAAATCAACAGTATGTTCCCCTTCTGCAACAGTGTGCTATCATAAGGAGATAATTTTGTTTGGAAAACATGTCACTGCTGGTGGGGTGGAACAAGGTCTCGACTGAGTCATGTCTTCTATGTGGGAGCAGGCAGAAAGTCCAGAATAAAACCACAAGACAGTCTAAAATACATGATCAACATGGGAAGCCTTTAAAGAGATGCTAAGGAGGAAACACACATAACAGTAAAAAAAAAAGGAAATATACCTAACAGTAAAAAAGAAAGGAAATTTCACACATCCATGGTGTTTCCTAGGAGAAAACAAACAAACAAACACACATAGTAATTTCTATTTTCAAAGTACTGGAAAGACCAGCAACGAACATCGAAATCTCTATCAGCAGAGGACATTAAAATCACCTACACAGACATGAAAAGTGGCACAGGTATGTCTGGTCATACCTTGAGTCACCAAGACCCCTTTTAAATCTAAATTTCTGTGATTGTAAGACAATACAAAGCCATTTCACTACACAGCAACTTGACTTCTCATAAAAAGCAATCACAAGTATTGCTTTGGTAACTACACGTCTATAAAAAATGACTACTTGCCTGTTCTAAAGGAAATACTGGTGGATTTACACTGCAAATGTTTGGTTTCTCAACCGTAAAGAATGGTTTGACTTTTACTCCAAAGGATGGCTTCGACTGCTAGGTTATTAGCAGTACAAGTGTGCTTTGGGATGCTAAGACTCTCAAAGGGAAACACCTCCCACTGGTGAAGCACACCAATAGGAATCTACACATTGTATTCTGGGCAGAGACTTGATTGTAGCAGGTTATTTTGGGCACCAAGCCTGCATGGAAGTGCACTCAGTGCAGTACCTTCTACTTTGTAACCTTATGCATTTTTAGTAACTGCTTGGTGTACATCTTCATTAATCAAGTTAATAAGCTCCTCAGCATACCACCAATCACGCTTACAAAATATTATTGAGACGCGTAAGTGCAGCCTCTAGACAAAGACAAACCGAATTCAGAGTGCAAGTACATACCAGAACACCAAACAGGAGTCTTCAGTAATGGTTTCTACAGCCTCACTGTTTTCAATGGATGACCATAAACCTCTACCTACGCCTTGTTTACTGTGCATTCCTTTCCTGCAGGAACCACTCTATGTGAACACAATAATATGCAGAAGAAATGCCAACGGAAAAGAACAGCACTCAGCTCAGTTATTTGGCTGATTATTTTCATTAAAAATAATGACAGCAGGTCTTTTTCAGAACATTTTTTCAGATTCAGCTGCACAAAGCAAATTCTTACTCAGCTTTTACCAGGAAATCAATTATATCAATCTTTCCTATTAATTTACAGGAGTTAAACAAGGTAAGACCAAGCAGCAACTGTACAAGTTAACTACAGAAGAAAAACTCTGAACCAAACCCTTATGAAGAGCTGGCCTGGTCTGTAGATAGTTTTATATCATTCTTAAACAAGCAAACAAAAAAAACCACAAGCAACCTCCCACCACCCAAACCCCAAAATCAAACAAACAAAACCCCCAAAACCAAACAAGAGGTGAATAGCCCTGCAAACCTGAAAACAAACTTTTGAAGTTTCTTATTAAATGACTAGAAGAATACACAGCTCCACCAAAAAGGAAGACAGTCCTGTGTGAAGAAGTGAAAGAAAGTCCCATAGTATAAATACTAAGTCTGCAAACACCTTTGGTAGCAATTGATCAGACTTTGTGATACTGAGTAAAAAGAAAAATCTACTCGTCTGAATTACTGGTCAACACAAGCATGTTACATTGTTCAGACAGTGAAGACAAGCTCAACTGAAAGCATTTGTGAGGAAAGCTTACGCTGCTTTGCTACTTGTACATTTTATACTTATTGCCTGCAGCAAAAAAAACCCCCCAACTATTAGCATGCAGCTTGGGATGCTATAAACAGAGATAGATATTGTTGACACATTTAAAGAAATGTGAAGATACGGAAAGAAATAACTTGATTTATATTATAGAAGTATTAAAGAAACTTCTGTTCTTTACGTCCTTCCGCCCCCCTCCACCCCCCTCTTAAATGGAAGCAGTTACAACAGGAAAGAGCGTAAGAG